GGGTTCATAGAGGTGGTATGTGTGTTCGTGGAGTGCCGATTTGGATGTGACGCCTGGGATACAGGAGGATGAACATCCGATGACGGCGAGAAACCGTCGCCGCCGCCACCATCAACGCCATCACCACCACCTCCCACGAGGAGGCGAGTAGTAGGACGATGAAAGGCAGAGGGCGAGTGAGGAGAGTAAAAAGTGCTGCTGACAGCGGCGGTGGTGGTAGTGGGATTAAAGTTGGCGGAATCTGCTGATGGGAGGGCTCGAGTCGTGGGTGTAGCCGAAGAGATTGCCTTGAGGTCGAAGGGAAAAAGATGATGGTCGCCCTCCTCGAGAAGAGGTGCTGATGAGTTCCCGTAGGCATCCAGATCGTGTGGAGAACAGACATCCATGGGCGGCAGTGATGGTGGCGAGAAGATAAACCGGATTTGGGGCGGAAGGATAGAAGAGGATGTTTCGCTGGGGGGATCCATCATGCTGGTTGACTCGTGTTCGCACATAAAATCATTAATTGACGGCGGTGGGAAACAGCTGTTGTTGTCACTGTTGTTCCGATTATCACTGGAGCGCTGGTTATCTCCCACGGAGTACGCGTGGTACATTGAGGTCTCGCAGGGCTCCGCGTGACTGGGCATCGGGCTCTGAACACTCGTCGGCCAGTCGGAGGTATTTTCTCCAAAAGGCTGCAACGTGCTATCTCCCAGTCCGCCTTTTGATGCAAAAGTTTGGTCCACTGTACTAGACAATCCGACAGACTTGAAATGTGCATCTGTGGAGGGGCGCGACACCATCGGTAGCGAAAACCTACTTTCTAGCGATACGTATTGCGATTAAGAAAGACGCTTTGCAGAAGACCGATACGAAAATATTTCTTAATAGTGCTGACGAGGGCACAGGCCGACACCATAGTTGCTGGAAAGAAAGTTTCGCGGACCATGCAAGGCGATGCGGAAAGAGTAACTTGTTTATGAGTAATCCGATCCTGTAAATCTGAATATGTAATAAATTGAAAAAAAAGAATCTTAAGGAAAGCAATAAAACTGGACGTATTTGCAGGCAGGCAGACAGCGGCAGCTTTAACATTTCAATCAAAAATAGGTAAGTAAGAAGTTTTAGCAGGTTGCATTCCGAGGGACCGATAGGCTATTTTGAGCGTAACGACTTCCCTCAACCTTGGTCGGGGACAAAAAAACCAACGAGGACTGAACCATTTGCCGGTGATGTTCTGCCACCAAAGGGACTGGGCAAAGCTTGACCTGTGAGCGGGCCATATCATTCCAAGTTTCTGGAAAGTGACTGCACGTCTTTAATGACAATCATAAAAGGACTTTACAATGAGTACAAACCCTTCATAATAAAATAAGGGGTGCTGTACGGTTCTTCATTCTTTTTAAGACAAAACTGTGCAAGCGATTCATCCACTCTTCAGTCGTTTGGCTTTTTAGAAAGAAATGTGAAGGCACTGACGAGGAACATTTTGTGGATTAACCACACATATTACATTTTTACGAATATTTCATGCCCTGGACGCTTTTTCGTCCAGGTTTCTGCATGGTATCCATATATATTTAAAGAAATTATTCAGGCAAGTCAGCACAAGCGGAAGAATGGCCAAATTAGCGTTACGTATCCGTGTGACGTTATTTTAGACTCTCGAAACTGTTTTTCTGTATTCTAAATTCCACTTTCGTCGGACAAGAGGCGATTAAAAGAGTTGACAATGGACGGACTACTGGAGTAGCCTACAGACCCAAGGACTCCCAGTAATCATGTTGGTTATACCGTTCTCCGCACTATACCGATTCGCACATAAGGAAATCAACGTATTAATTGCGAAGGGAAAATTAAGTATGTCAAGTTGAAGGTTGTGTCTCCTATTTGCGGTCGCAGAGATAAATGCTTAGGGAAGGAAAAATAAAATATTGAGAAGTACTGCAGCGTAATACACGTGTAAGATATCAAGATATTTTTAGTGGGAATTTATTTACCGCTTTGTCTAGATTGCCGACGATAAATTTTACTGTCCTTGAGCCAAAGAATCCTTTCTTGAGCTAAAATGATCAGACATACAGAAATGCGCTTTGTTGCTAAAATGATCGCCCGAATATTTTCTTTACTTTCTCCGCTAGTAGTTGCGAATAATGTCTAAATTATCTTAAGCATCAAAGAGAGGGGCGAGATCTACTATTTAAAGGAGACCAGATAGTGAATGTGAGTTGTTGTATAAAAAAGTCCTCAAATATTTTCTTGTGTGATGACAATTTAGAGAATTAAGGAGCTTTGACCGTCTGCTAACGACTGTTCTATTTTTCGATGATAACTCTTGCAAATATGGAAACTGAAAAATCTGTGGCCTATATAATTTTTCCAGTCACTCTTTTTGGAGGCGCCATCTGCGACCATTGACAGCGATTAGTCACCACTGAGGTATTAGGTTGATTAATTTCGGTGATTTATATTTTTACAAATGTTAGGGTGTGCGCGAACTGGACCATAATCAACCCTGCCAACGATACAAACAAAGTTAAAAAAAAGACATTTTATGGGTTAGCGAAGCATGTTTTAGTCACTTCAAGACTAATATGCCGAAGGTGCAACCTAGTTACATGCGGCACCGAATGCCGCAGAATTCGTGTTACTTTTCAAGTTAACTTCCAAATTCGAATAAAATAGTTGACTACAAGTTCCCGGTGCAGAAACCACATTTATGCTTTTGCATTTCTATAGATCGTTGTGTCTGTGGTCCAAACACCGTTCAAATGCTGGAGAGTTTCGGTGAAAAGAACCTGTGATTGTTTCATTGACTGGTGAGCTTAAAATGATGACAGTCTTTTATCGAGTTTATTGCATATTAAATCTCTGAAAGAATTTTGGTAGAATTTTCAGTCTTGTCTAGATAAACAATAAGAAAAAACAAGAAAGCCGTGTCCTCCTGGTCCACTAAACAGCCCATGAAACACATTCAAATAAGTGCTGAACTACTTCCGAATACGTGTGTTCCCTCGTTAGTAAAGATGAATTAATGCAAAGTGGCACAAATTTTCCCCAAAGCGTTTCTAATTCACAAATACAGGAAAAAATAAGCCGTAATGTAAGGAGCGCTGCATATATGCATTTTAAGTAAGTACCACCGGTGGTTGCCAAATTCCAGATATTTCAATACATCTAAATATATACGCAGATCTTAAGCAGCCTTTTAACATGCTCCAATACTTTAAAATGTTTGTCCTTGTCCGAGGATAAATGCATGGACCTATATTGTAGAAGTTGACCGTTTTTCCTGTCCAAGTCACCGAGCATGCAAACGTAATTCGTAGTTATTTTGTTATTAGGGATAGTATGATAAATGAGCACAAATCAGGGCATGCCTGATTTTACAGTTCGTATAAAAAATTATGAGGCAATTTTTTAATTAAGATCTATGTCGCAATATATATATATATTTTCGAGTCTAGACGCATAACATTTACCTGGGCAACCAAAATCTGCGAATGGGTGGATCAAACGCCGAATTCAAAGCTGCGCGGGGGGCCTTCGGAGTCGCGAACTAATTATATCGGAGCGTATAAACAAATAGGCAAAATGGATTTTGTAAACATTTTAAAAACAGACAAATCAGTGAAAAATGTTTCAGCTTTCGCCCAAAAACCACAGTTTTAACCTATAAATACAATCAAAATTTAGTATATTGCAAACCCAAGTATGCAAATCGGATCTTCGTTGTTCTACATCATCGCAAAAAATGCGCACGCACGGCAAGTAATACCGATTTCTATACTTAAGTAGAAGTTTCTCTTATATCGTTGGCAACAGCCTAATTTTTTAAGCAAATAGTCTACTGTTTCTCTCTTTGACCGTTGACAGTTGTAATTTGTTAACGTAGTTATATCTTAAATTTGCGAAAATTCCCATTAAAAATTTCAGAAGATGAAATGGCGAACATACGTTTGTTTTCGATAATTCTCATCAGGCCTTTACATTTATATGGTTATTAAGTAAATAAACTACGCGGGTTGGTAGAAAAAATATCGAACGGTTTTCAGGGCAGGGGAAGGGGGATGAGAAACGGTTTGCCGAAGGTTAACCAAGATGGCATACCCGTTCATCCCATTACATGTATGAGAAATTCGCTATACCATGCGTCAGCGAACTGCCTTGTTGACAAACTGAAACCCCTACAGAGTCAGCTATCCCCATGCAGCCTCCCAGACACCAAAAACAAGTGGAGTCAGTCTAGAAGTTTGTCACCGGAAACAGACGTGGAGAATTTCCAACTTGTAAAA